CCACGTGCAGAGACCACATGGAAACGGGGTCAGCAATGGTATGGCCAAGAATCATGCCTCCCATTGCTCAAAAATAAATGAAAAGGAAGAAATGTGGTGGAAAGAGAAGGTCATGCCAAGATGGCCGCTGACAATGGAAACTGCCTGGCAACAGACTGTGATTGGATGGCTTTGGAAACAACATGACAATGGAGCCTGACTGACAACAGGCTGTGATTGGATGGCTTCGGGAACCACATGGCAATGGAGCCTGCCTGGCAACCGGCTGTGATTGGATGGCTTCAGAAACTGCCTGGCAACAGGCTGTGATTGGTTAGGGCATAGACCGCCTCTTGACCCGATTGACTGCCTTGGTTATTTAAGCTGCTCTACCAACTGAAGTAAACGAGTCTGTGGGCTGCTCACCTCTGGCTTGCTTTCACCTGACACCTGGGGTCTGTGTGGTGACTCCATGCCTCTTGCCCCTACCACGCTCCTCCTCTCAGAAGGAATCCACCACAACATCACAGTCCCCAGAGCTATGACTACCAGCTTATTTTTGTCTCTCTAGAGACAAACTTCTTGAAATAGCCCTCGCCTCTGGGAATCCTCACCTCCCATTCATTCCTTAGCAAATTGCAGCCTGCTTCAGCTGATTCCTGCAGGCCACTGAAGCTGTGCTTGTCATGAAAATGAATGACCTCCTCACGGCCACCATGGAAGAAACGGAGATCTTTCCTTTTCTCCATTTCTCCTGGCCTTAGCCACTGCTTGGAATTTCTCTCTTGCCTTCTCCTTGCCTCCCATACCACTCCATTCTCTAGTTCTTTTTTCCCTATTTATTGATTTGAAATGCAGACAGAGAAGGCGAGAGATCTTCCATCCATTGGTTCACTCCCCAGATGCCTACAACAGCTGGGGCTGGGCCAGCATAAAGCCAGGAGCCAGGAGCTCCATCCAAGATGGGTAGCAGGAACTCAATCACTTGAGCCATTATCAGAGGCAGGGAGCTGGACCAGAAGGAGTGTAGCCAGGTCTCCAATGGGCACCGCAGTATGGGATGCAGTGTGGTGCCTTAACCTGCTGTGCCACAACATTAACCTCCATTCTATAGTTCTGTAACTGCCTCCTCTTTGTACCAACCAACACTGGTGTTTCCCAGTTCGCTTAGTCCTGCCTTTCTCCTTTTCTATACCTGTTGCTTTCCTGAATGGTTTCTTCCACACCCAGCACATGAACTTCACTGTAGCACTTGAACTTCACTATTTATGTGCTGATGACCTCTGAGTCAGCTGTCCTTTGTAATCCTAGGGGTGAACCTGAAGGGCACTATGCTAAGGGAAATCAGGCACAGAGAGACAAATACATACCACATCCCACTTACGTGTAGAATCTAAGAAATACCAACTCAGAATTTGAGAGCAGGGTGGCCGTCAGCAGGGGCCAGAGTAATGACACAGTGGGCTAAGCGGCTTCCCGTATCAGAGGCTGATCTGAGTCCCAGCTGCTCCAGTTCTGATCCAGCTTCCTGCTGATGCACCTGGGGAAGCAGTGGAGGGTGGCCTAACTGCTTGGGTCCCTGCTACCCACGTGGGAGGCCTAGATGAGATTCTAGGCTCCTGATTACAGCCTGGACCAGCCCCAGCAATTGTAGCTGTTTGGGATGTAAATCAGTGGATGGAAGATCTCTCCCTGTCTCTCCCTCTCTCTGTCATTCTGCCTTTCAAATAAATAATCTTTACAAAAAAAAAAAAAAAAAAACAAAGCGGTAGTCATGAGAGGCTTGGCAGAACACTGGATGGAGAGAGGCAAGATGTTGATCAGAGCATACAAAGTTTCAGGTGAAAGGAAGAAGCAGCCTTTAGTGATCAATAGATCTCATGGAATGGTGACTTTCGTCAGAATTGCTAAAAGTAGATCTTAAATGTTCTCACCATAAATGAGTATGTAAGGCAATGGCTTTGTAATCAGCCTGATTTAATTCTTCTTCAGGTTCACACATGAGAACATGACTCTGCTGGGCTAAAGGGAGGCTGGGGAGACAACTCATGGCCTCGTGTTTTTTTGTTTGTTTTTTTTTTTACTTAGGTATTCTGGAATTGGCGATGCTGGATGTACAAACCTTATAAATATACTAAAAATCACTTGCACAGTTGAAAAGGGTAAGATCTATGATATTTATAGCTCAAAAGAATTCCAATGGCATAATATTCTGTGATGGAATTTGTGGTGGAATGAGAAGGCCATGCCAAGATGGCCGCTGACAACGGAAACTGCCTGGCAACAGGCTGTGATTGGATGGCTTCAGGAATGACATGGCAACGGAGCCTGCCTGGCAACACGCTGTGATTGGATGGCTTTGGAAACTGCCTGGCAACAGGCTGTGATTGGTTAGAGTATAGACCACCCCTTGACCAGATTGGCTGCCTTGGCTCTATAAGCTGCTGTACCAACTGAAATAAATGAGTCTTCCAGCTGCTCGCATCTGGCCTGCTTTCACCAACACCTGAGGTCTGTGTGGTGACTCCACGCCTCTTGACCCCACCACCATCCTCCTCTCAGAATGGATCGACAGCAACATCTGGCACCCAAGGAATTGTTATGAAAACATGCTAGTGGTGGGCTTCTTTTTATAGTGCTTGGGTTTTTTTTATTTTTATTTTTTACAAAATTACATGTCTATAACTTCTCTTTGTCTCACTGGGAGAAATATGATTTTGACATTGCCCGTGACACAAAGAAATGTATGGGAAGCAATATGTTACTGCCCACCACTACCACCGAAACCAAAACTGCCAGTATTTTAGAGTCCTCGAAATTCTTCCCAAAGCCACTTCGTGTCCTCACTGACTCTATCCACCCATCCTAATGATTCCCCTGAATTCTAACCAACCCCTTGCACTTGGGGCAATCAAAGATGAAAATGTCTCTACTTTGGAATTTACTTCTGTAAAAACTTTATTTTCATGCTCTATGAAAGGCAGACAGAGATGTCCCATCCATTGGTTCACTCCCTAAATGCCCACGACAGGCAGGCTGGGCCAGACTGAAGCCAGGAGCCCAGAACTCAATGCAGGCCTCCCACATGGTTGGCATTAATAGTAAGCTGGAATCAAATGTGGAGCCAGGCTGTGGAGTAGTGGGTAAAGCTGCAACCTGCAGTGCTGGCATTCTGTATGGGCGCCGGTTCGAGTCCCAGGTGCTCCATTTGTGATCCAGCTCTCTGCTATGGCCTGGGAAAGCAGTAGAAGATGATTCAAGTCCTTGGGTCCCTGTATCCACGTGGGAGACCCAGAAGAAGCTCCTGGCTCTTGGCTTCAGATTGGCCCAGCTCTGGCCGTTGTAGCCATCTGGGAGTGAACCAGCATTTGGAACACCTCTCTCTGTCTCTCTGTCTCTCTCTCTCTGCCTCTGCCTCTCTGTAACTCTCAAATAAATACATTTTTTAAAAAGTCTTAAAAACAAAAGTAGGGCCAGTCCTTAAACCCAGGCAGTCAAATATGGGACTCAGCCCCTAGTGGCAACTTAACCTGCCTGCCCCAGAATTTCCACTTTGGCTGTGGTGTTGGCCAAGTTCACACTGTTGAAATGGTGGGTCCCTAAGGAACGACTCTCCGTTGTTGGTGGTGGTGTTTTGTTGTTGTTGTTGTTGTTGTTTTGGTTTTTTTTTGTTTTTGTTTTTGTTTTTTACAGTCAGAGTGGACAGTGAGAGAGAGAGACAGACAAAAAGGTCTTCCTTTGCCGTTGGTTCACCCTCCAAAGGCAGTCGAGGCCAGTGCACTGTGGTCGGAGCACCACACTGATCCAAATCAGGAGCATGCTGTTTCTCCTGGTCTCCCATGGGGTGCAGGGCCCAAGGTGTTGGGCCATCCTCCACTGCACTCCCTGGCCACAGCAGAGAGCTGGCCTGGAAGAGGGGCAACCCGGACAGAATCCGCCGCCTGACCGGGACTAGAACTCGGTGTGCCAGCGCCGCAAGGCGGAGGATGAGCCTAGTGAGCCACGGCGCAGGCTCCGTTTTTATTTTCTGTTTGTTAGAGAGGTGGGAGTGGGGGCAGAAGCTGGAGGAGAACTCAACCGGCTCTCCCGTGTAGGTGGCACTTGAACCATCCTGAACCGTCCCTGCTGCCTCCCAGGAGCCACGTCAGCAGGAAGGTGGAGTCAGGAATGAAACCCACTCGCTCTAATACGGGACATGGGTGTGTCTTAGCCACGGGCTTCTCATCTGCCTGAGCGCCAGTTCCCAGAGGGCTAAGCAAGAGCACCAGGTTAGGGGTAAAGACGAGGAAGAACTGGCCTGGGGAATGGGGTGGAGTCCTTAAGCACAAACTTGGGCGAAACTTCAGCAGGGAGATCGCATCTGGGACAGATGGGAGGACAGAGGTCAGACCACCCACCTGCAGCTGAGCTCCAGGGAGAGGGGACAGCCTTTGGTCAGAGAAGCCAGCCCCTTCTCAGGGGGGAGGGCGCCAGAGAGGCACACCTGGGGCTCGGCGGTGTGCCCCCGCTGAGCCTTCCCTTCAGAACTCCTGTTTGGACAGACATTCTCATGAGCTAACCCCGAAAAGAGTTGGTTCAAACCAGCGTCTCCTCTCCTTGCGACGTACGGAAGAGCCCAGGATTCTCAACACCTGTCTCCCTCGTGCTCCCACTCTTAGCAGCAGGTAGCCAGAGCTGAGAGTCACACCGCCCTCCAAGAGTGGGTCCCGCCTGCACACACCCACATGCACACCAGCTTTAGCCATGTCCTTTTATTGAGCCATTTGTATGGAAATAGTGATCAGGGAGTTGTCACACCCCACCACGGGGCCCTGCCACGGAGGAGGCGGGCTCAGCAGTTTCTGGGATGGTGTCCCAATGCAGGCCAATGGCGTTGATGAATAAGCCAGCTCGGCCACTGATGAATCGGAGCACGGCGTCGATGTCCAAGGGTACAGCATAGAACATTACGCCTGTGTCGTTCCCAAAGGAAAGGAAGCGACCCTCGTTAGTCTCAAAGACCAGGGTCTTCAGATAGTTACTGTATGACCCAGACACCGCGATCACTGACTCCCCTGGGTGCAGAAAGATCTCCTCCAGGTCTCCCAGCTTGCCACCCACGTAGTCGCTCCACACCTGGCCATAGCGCACCTGGAGACTGGGGACGGGTGGGAGGGCAGGAACGGGGACACTGATTAGGTCATCAGAGTTCAGGACCGTTTGGCCTGCACGTGGAGTCCTCCAAACTGGACACTAGCATGAGCAGTCCCTGTTAGTTTCCCCAAAAGTGTAGGCCGGGTGAGCCCTGGAGGACCACACAAAGAACTTCAGCTCCTGGCCTGGCTGACAGCAGGTGCAGAGAAGGAAGGCAGCTTGCCCAGAGTCGCCCACACACAGCACATGGCAGGCCTTGAATTTGGAGTCCAGCCTCCTACGATGCCCCTCCCCCATTCCCGCACTTGTGGAAGCAAAGGGATTTTCTAACAGCTGAGTGGCTCCCTTGTGGGAGAGGGAAGAGGCTTGTCCCTGCTGTCCCAGGAGGCAGATCCAGGATCAGGGGACACACTTTGGCTCTGCACGTGATAGAATTTTCCGACTAGCAATGGAGTGGGGACTGCTCAAGAGAGGCGTTGAGCAAAGTTGCAGGGCACCCAGCAGGGATATTGGAAAGAAACTTTAAACCGCAGAAGGCGGGTGGGCTGGGCTGGTCGACTTCCAGGCCCCTGAGAGTTAGTGGTTATTAATGATTTGCCACCACCAGGCATATTCGGGGAGGGAGGAGTCCAAAGGGTACGGTTCTGGAAGCCGAGTCCTCTCACAGCTATCCCCATATCCTGCCACACTAGGGACCTGTTGGTTGAGGCACAGGTGGCCCAGAGCGAAAGAGCACTTCCTGAGCTAGTAAGAGCTTGAGGAACGCGGAGGAGCCTTACCCCACGATATTGAAGCTGTCAGCCCGGACACGGATGGCTGTGATGGGCCCTTCCAGCTGGAGGCCGGAGTGGGAGAATGGCTCCCCTCCTCCCCTTCCATACTCGCGACTGTAGGAGGAGGACCTGGCCTGGACTGCAGTGGAAAGAAAGGGGGGCTTGGAGGCAAAGACCTCCCGGTTCCCACCACTCATGGTCAGCCCTGCAAGCCTTGGCCACCAGCCGAGCAGGGGCCCCTTCCCACCACCTGCCACCAGAGTCCCAGCGGCTCACTTACTGGCACTGGCAGAGGCCGAGGCACAGAGAAGGCCCAGGAGCATGAAGGTCCACATCGTGAGGCTGCAGTGGGGAAGAAGAGAGCAGAGGGGGAGGTTTCCCCCTTTCCCTCTGGCCTCCGGGTGGCCTGACCCTTCAGCTCCCACCTAGCCAGACCCAGGCTCAAGGTGCACAGCACTGTCCACAGCCTGCAGTGCATCCTCCAGACCTGGTGTTCCTTGGTCTGCTCCAGCAAGGTCCAGCTCTCTGCTAGTGCCCTGGGAAGGCGGTGGAAGATTGCCCAAGCACTTGAGCCCCTGCACCCCCTTGGGAGACCTGGAAGAAGCTCCAGGCTCCTGGCTCAGATTGGCCCAGCTCTGGCCATTGCGGCCATGTGGGGGAGTGAACCAGCAGATGGGATCTTTGTCACGATTCTTTGTCCACCGACACACGCCTGGCCTTTCCCAGTCACCTGAGTGTCCCAGGTTCCTTGTCCTTCAACTGACAGCTGACACATCTCTGCACCAAGATAGCTTCAACCCAGGTGCCCACTTCACTAACACTCCCTGCCACTCAATCCAGGCATCCCCTTCCCCAGACCAGATCAGATCTGAATCCCCACCCCCTCAAAGGCAGACCCAGGAATCCCTAACACCTCTCACCTGGGAGCTTCAGGTGCAAGGTAACCCCTTAGAACCTTCCAGAACTTTTATACCAGCTCCTAGCACTCCCTCCTGCTCTTTTTTTTTTTTTTTCGACAGGCAGAGTGGACAGTGAGAGAGAGACAGAGAGAAATGTTTCCTTTGCCGTTGGTTCACCCTCCAATGGCGCTGATCCGATGGCAGGAGCCAGGTGCTTCTCCTGGTCTCCCATGGGGTGCAGGGCCCAAGCACTTGGGCCATCCTCCACTGCACTCCCTGGGCACAGCAGAGAGCTGGCCTGGAAGAGGGCAACCGGGACAGAATCCGGCACCCCGACCAGAACTAGAATCCAGTGTGCCGGTGCCCCAAGGCGGAGGATTAGCCTAGTGAGCCGCGGTGCCGGCACTGTTTTTGTTTTTCTAACGTGAGGTGCAGAGAGAGAGAGAGAGAGAGAGAGAGAGAGAGAGAAACACTCTCATTCACTGGTTCACACACCCAAATGCTTGTAAAAGGATTTCGCACTCTGCCCTCAGAGCGTAGTGAGTTCCCAGGGTTTGTGCTGCCGTGGCGTCCAGGCTGCTCACCCCAGGAGCAGGGGCCCGGTTACCAGCCCTTCACCTGGTGGGACAGCTGGATGCAACCCACATGACTGACTCCACTGACCCCACTCCACACGGGCTGTGCACAGGGGCCGCGGTGCCCATCTGTCCTTCACAGCGTGGCCTCCAGGAACCATGCCTGCTGGAGCTAAACCCTCCATTAGATCGCCCCACGGGAAACCTGCTTGGAGAATGCCCTGGCCCAATGACAGCTTTGGTCCTCTCTCTCTCTCTCTCTCTCTCTCTCTCGTTCTGCAGTCCCTCCCTGCTAACCTTCCCACTGGCCATACAAGTCATGTTACCTTCCCCCTCTGGAATCTTCAAGTATAATAATAAAAAAGCCCTTGTTTCTGTTATTTCATGCGTTTTCCTTCAGCTGCCTCCTCCGTCTGACCTGACAGATGCCCCCTGGCCCCACGAACAGAAGCCTTGTCCTGCTTGAGGCTCTCCCGGGGAGTGGCTGTCTTGGCTGATGGCCACTCTCCAAAAACAGACTTCCAGACCACGATAGCGGGCCAAGCTGGTGGACATTCAAATCTGCCACCCACCCCAGGCCAGCCTGTTTCCTGTTAGTAAATACGTGACAACACCTGTGTCGCGTTATTTTAGGGGATGAAATGATATACAATAATATGACTGGGCAATTCTCGGAGACAATTGTGGAGGCATTCAGGGAGAAACCAGGAGACTTTTCACTGAGCTTCCTGTCCCTTGGGGACCATGTCCACTGGGCCTAGCCTCCTCTGGGCCTCTGGTTAGACAACATAGCCCAGAACCGTGACCTTGGGGGTTCCCATGCCCTCCATGAAGCTGTCCGACTAGAAAGGCCTGAGTCCACCCCCTCCCCCGTCTCCCCTCTCCCCACACCCATCAGGGAGACTTATTCTGGAAGCCTCCCCAAGAATTCCACACACACAGAGAACACACGCTGAGAACAGCAGGGGCTTGGGCTGCGCGGGCTGCCCGGCTCTCATTGCTGGTCTGTGAGGCTTGTTTGCTTGTCCGTCCTCCTTAAGTTAACTTCCTAAGAGCAGGCCCCATGAAGACTGCCGGTCGAGTCCTGGCGTACAGATACTCAGTAAATGTGGCTTGGAGTTATAGTTTCATTGGTAGCCAAAATGTCCTAAATTCACTTTAGCGCGGACAATGTATGTTTGTCTTGCCTTTTTTTTTTTTTTAATTTTTAATGTGTTCTTTATTTGAGAGGCAGAAAGAAAGGGAGTGAGAGCTCCAATCTGCTGGTTTACTCCCTACCTTTGAAGAGTTAAAATTGTATATGTGCGGATGTAAAAAGTTAAGCTTAAGCTTACAGGTTTAAACCTTCCTGGTGCAGCTGTGAAAATAAGACAGAGTAAAGTAGCACCTTGACAGTAGGGACTCCATTTTGGAGCCCTTGAGACTGCATTCTGGGAAAGCAACCCCCCCACCGTGAGACTCTGGTCTGAAACTATGATCTCAACTAGTCGGACAATAGCAGTGCACTACATCACCCTTGGCAACGCACAAAAACCCCCTAGCATGATTGCTCAAGCTTAAAAGTAGAAAGGTTGCACCTGGGTTACCTGGGCTAATAATGAAGATGTGATTTGTCTATGTCTTAAAATCATAATTGCTGATTGTAAGATATTAGCAACCGCTTAGCAACTGTGTATTCTCCCCCCCTCTCCCGGTTTTGCGGTTTTTGCCTTTATAAACCCTAACCTTTGGTTATTCGGGGCTGCTCTGTTCATGATGATCAGACAGCCCCAGCATGCTGGATAATCAATAAACTTCCCCGTGCTGTTTGCATAAGAGACGTGTCTCTTGGTGACGTTTTTCGGGTGGTCGACTCTGACACCTTCTTGCAACAGCTGGGCTGGACCAGGCTGAAGCTGGGAGCCAGGAAGAGAGAAAGTTCTTCCATCCAATAGTTCCCTCCCCAAGTAACCAGAATGGCTGAAGCTGGGCTGAGCTGAAGCCAGGAGCCAGGAGCTTCTTCTGGGTCTCCCACATGGGTGCAGGTGCCCAGACACTTGGGCCATCTTCCACTGCTTTCCCAGGCCATTAGCAGGGAGCTGGATTGGAAGGGGAGCAGACGGGACTTGAACTGGTACCTATATGGGATGTCAGCACTGCAGGCAGAGGCTTAACCTAGTGTGCAGGGTCTGAGTCCACCCAAACGCGGATGGACTGGGTCCCAGGAAAGGCAAGTGCGCCACTCACCCGTTCCCCAGCCTCCCGATCCCGGAGACAATCAGACGCAGCGGGAAGTCGAGTCAAGCAGGAACTCGTTTATTGCACGCGTAGTAAAACCTTTTAAAGCACAAAACTGCACGATTATTGGGTCAGAGCATAAGGACCAACCAATTGCTTAAAAGGTCATTTTATGGGGCGATTTTTTACGGAACCAGCCATATGTCTGTAGACTTGTCATCAGTCGTCGTCATCTCTCCTGATGCTGCACGGCCAATCAGCTTTGGTGGTAAACAACCTCGGGTTCCACCCACCTTACTTCCTTTGGGCGCCATCTTTGGATTGCCTCGTGCGCCTAATATCGCTGCACTAGTAGGCCACAGTGCCGGCCCTGGAAGCTAGGAATTCAATCTGGGTCTCCCCCCACGGGGGGCAGGGGCTCGAGGACTTTTAATCATCATCTGCCTGGGGCCAGCACGCACAGATGTGGGAACACACACTTCCACACTCTGACCCCCACTGGCTTCTCTTCTTGAGAATTTCAGCTCGCCTTGAGCACGC